TACAGCAATAGGAAGGCTGACAGGGCAAAAATGACAAGTCATCCTGGAGCAACCCATCCTTTCCCATGAAGCTCCTTAAACTGATGAGAAGTAGGTACCCATCTCTTCTTACTGTTGTAAGGGTCATCTGGCTAGGATTACATGCCTAGCTCTTAGCCACTAGCTACCTGGATTGAACTCCATGCCTTTGCATGTATGTATCTGAGAGACAGAGGAAAAAGAAAAAAGCTGGATAAAAGGAAAAAGAGGCATGGAAAAAACAAGTCTGGGGAATAAATGTAAGAGGTTAGAAAGCAAGAAAGACAGAAAGTACTGCTATCACACTGTGATTTAAAATCTTAGGTGTGAATTTTTACCATTCTGATTTATTTGTGAAAACATATACCTCTTCCTACTTCTGAAAAAAAATCCCCAAACAAACCAAGAAAAAAACAAAACAAAACAAAACAAAACCCATGGCTGAAAATGTTAGAGGGTTCCAGGTCTCACTTTTTTGGGAGTTTTTTGATGCTTGAAATTTTGATGCATTTCCAAATGTAATGGGTTTTTTTTTCCTAAAATTTTGTAAGAAACTTTAAAAGCATTCAGCACATTCTTTAAAGCCAATGTCTAGAATTAAGTTTGCTTCAGGTAAATAAGACCATTTGTTTTATTTTCATTTTCACAAGAGTGATCAAGAAGCAAAAAGGTATTTCAGCTTTTTTTCTTAAATCTTGGCATGGAGAGGAAACAGAATTGTTGTCTACATCTTATACGATAGACTACTTTGTCAAAACTGTTTTGCAAAAATCATAACCAAAAGTGTGCCTAGCATTGACATCATAATGTCAAGAGAAAGGAGAAATCTAGAAAGTAGAGATGAAACCAGAAGTTAGCATTTCTTCCACTTTTAGGAATCACAAAAGGCCAGCTACAGTAATTCCTCAAACAAAACTTGAAAGGAGGAAACCTGAAAACTTGTTAAATCCTCAACTCTCACTAAGCAAATATGAAAAGGTGGTCAGACATGCATGAGCTACAGTACTAGCACACATATCTACATACAATATCATTATAAAATTCTTACACATGCATAAATTTTCTGAACCTCAACTTGCATGGGCCTGCAGTGAGCATTTACGTTGAAAATTATTCAAGTCAGAAGATCTCATTAGTTGAATGAAGTTCTAGCAATTAATATTTAGGAATTATTGTGCCAAGAATGCCTAGGGAATTTCCACAAGTAGACCTTAAAAATACAGAAAAGCAGGCATTACCCAATACAAATTAAGACAGGAGGCTGGCTTTTCTTCTCAAAATTAAGGCAACCGAATCTAGTATTTCTTAAAAGATACATCAGTGCTGCAAAAGGAAATGACAAGAGTGCAGCTTAGGTTTTAAGCTTACTCAACTCTTCTACAAATGTTTTGCCAAAGGCGAAAGAAAACTGAGTTCAAGCACATCTAACATATTTGGAACTTCCACTCCATGTATGTATAGGAAAACTTTCATGCAAGCCCTTTATAAGAATTTACCTATGAGGAGTTGAGGGCTAGATTCATAAAAATATTTGGGTTCTTAGATGCTCAAGACACCGCTCTGCTACCACCTACCCCTCCAGGTGCCAGTTTTCCCATAATCACTTAGTCTTCTAAATAAAACCTATAAAATGATGAGACATTTGTAAGAGATGTATGCCTTGGCACTGATATGTCCTGTGCCAGCCTCAGTGGGACTCTGAAACCAAGCACTTCCAGATCTAAATGTGGCTTTTCTAGCTCTGCATGTTCTTCACTGTAGAGCTCAATCCAGTGAATCTTCAAAGTTGCACTGGAACACAAACAAAACTGGGTAAGGTCTCTCCAAAAGTACTGACAAGTTGATTCTCAACTGGCACAGGGGACAGGAAAGCTTAAATCCTTCCACTGTCTCTTCTGGAGCAGGAACTTTAAATCCTTCCTCCCCTCATAGAAAACTCCTTAAAAACTGGCTGCTCAAGATGAAGGAGGCAGAGTGAAAGGAATCTTTAAAAATCTCCTACTGAAGCAACTGCCATTTCATAAAATACCTAAAATATTAATAAGATAATTAACAGACTAAAACCCAGTCCACTGGTTCACATGTTTTACACAAGTGATCAAAACGTCAATCCCTGTCAGCACACTTCAGATAAACTATGATGTACTCAGCACAGCAGGCAGAAAGATCTGGATCCCTAAGCAATTAAATGCACAACAGTTAACACATTTTCCTTTTGATATGCAGACGAAGCCACAGCAGGGCTTACATGGCTTTGATTCATAATTCCAGGAGAAAAGACAAAAGCCATATGGAGCAAAATGTTGGTCTCTAACTTACTGTCCTTTTTTCTGCCGAAGTTGCAGAAATAATTGAAAAAACCCTGAGATGCAGACTTCTAAGTCCACACCACAGAACACACTTCCATTTTGCATGCACACTTCCATTTGCACTAAGAAGAAAACAAAGGAGAAGTACTCCTAACTTCAGAGTTAATCTTTTTAAAGGAATGGCCATGAGAGCAATGCTGCTGTTTCTGCCACTTCAAAGGACGCTCTGGGGTCATTTTACTGCACAAAGAAGTTGTACATTAGAAAACAAAACACTGGAAGAAAGCCATGCCAACTCTGTTTTTCAGATGATCTGTTATCACCAACAGATATTTGTTTAGTCTATAGAGACAATAATCAGTCTCAAAACTGGCAACTATCCCAGACAGCATATTTAAAAGAAAGCTAAGAACACCAAAACATTCATATTTAAGTTAAATTTGAGTTTGGAATTTAAGAATTAGACCTTGTTACAAGTAACTCTTAAGAGTAATAAAATAGCAATATATAGCATTTAAATAACATTTTCCTCTCAGTTTTCTTCCAGTTTGCTGGCTTTGTATGAGGAATAAACCCAACAAACATATAATCCAGTTCCAAGCCTGTTTCAACCATGAATGCAGACACTCACGAGACCTCCCAAGCCTATGCCATTTTCCAATGGCCAATATGTACCAGGGATGATAGTGTTGAAGGACATACACACTCAGAGGTGCTGGAGCATTAACACCTGCACTCAGACTGACTGTACATTTCTCCAGCCAGCTCCAGGGCAGTGCTCTGGCACAAAATCAGCATTATGTGTGTCATGCTCATGCTCTACTCTAGTGAAAGCTCATGTAGATGAACTTTCCCTAGTTTAGGAAGGTAAAAGAAGCATAAAGTCAAAGAGAAGTACAAAAGTAACAGGGCTGAGTGAAGCACATATCTTGTTATTCCCAATCCTCTCTTTAAAGTGTCATCTCCAAAATTACTGCAGTGAAGAACTCTATATAGCCTTCAAGGTTGAAGATACATTGTTTAAACAGTACATATAATCTGCTGGTCTTTATCAGCTACTGAAAAAGAGCTTTTTTTTTTTTTTTCTAGAAGCATACAAGTAATCCTATTATTATTTGACAACTCACTTCAAAACACTCTCCTCTCAAATATGAGACATCAACAAGGGCATCCTTCTCTCCAAATTCAGAATACTTGCAAGTGGCTATCAGAATACAATGCCACAGCAGCTAGGAGAACTACCTCTCAAAGGTTAGGTTGCACACTTCCCTTTTCTCTTTAAAATAATATTAAGATCATTTAAGTTTCCACCCACAATTTTCCAGATTAAATAGGAGAACAGAAATTTGACTTAGATGCATGCAATTTTTTTGAAAAGCTTACTTTCTTAAATAAAAATAAACTGTACTTTGTACCAACTCTGTTTCCTCAGATTTTGCCAGCAACAATGCACACCTCCTGGAAGCCACCCTTTTTGATCTATTGAAAAAACTCCTCAAACTCTTCATCACCAAACTCAAGGTGCTGTTCCAGATTAAAAACCCTGGAAATATCACATAAAGGCAAAAAAGACTGATTCACCTTGACTGACAATTCAAACTCTGTCTTTTGAGATGCCGAACACTTATTGACCTCCAAATTATTTCAATGAAGCTCATGCATATTCTCAGTTAACTGTTACACATCCATTTCTGCAGGACATATGCAATGTTTTCTTAGTCTCTTTTACAGCTCAAATTCCCACAACTCTTTGATCTTAAGAGTTGAAAACTACAGGTAAGGAATATAACAGCAAAAAGAATGAACGATGGGCTAGTCTTCTCACAATGGTGAAGAATACATGAATATCATTAATTTCACAGCAGGGAAGTGAACCTACACATACAGTGCTACAAACTTCTATTTATCTGAACAACTGACACTAGTTATATAGCAGATTATTCTTGCATTTTTGGAGTTTCTTTCTCTCTGATGGATCACAAAGTGCCATACAAACAGCAATCTGAACCTCCAAGCTTGTTTCAGCTAAAAGGATGCTGAAAGGAAAGCAGGCGAGCAACATCTTAAGTTAATAAGAACAAAGGATTAAAAAACTCCCACTACAAACACCGTGGCAGACCCATTATCTTTACAAAGGCATCAAGAGAGTTCAATGCATGGTTGAACTGAGAAATCCCAGCAGTTTAAATATCTCATTTGACTGACACTGCAAAATGCACACATCACCAAGCACACCTCAAATAAGGTGGAGAATTGGAGAAGTACCTGCATCTTCAGATTACCTCATATTTATTATCTATTAGATGAGAGACTTAAGACAACCAATGTACATCAAAAAGTAACAGATGTTTTCATGCCACTTTATCTCCACAGTTTGTAAACAAGCGCATTAATCTTTAATGTATCAGCAATATAGGCAGACATGGTTTCTTTGAGAGAGACATAGCCAAACACCATTAAAATTCCCAACTATGTCTAGACCTTTGGCACAGACCAAAAATTGTCACTGTTGCATTTTTTGTATTTTTAGCAACAGTTTACCTTACAGGGCAATTTTTAACCCAAGGCCAGCAAACCAGACACACGGCTGATTTTGCCCCTGGTCCCTACATCTGCATGCATACCACTGATGCATAAAACTTTATCTTTTCAGAAAACATGTAAAGGTGTTACCTTTCTGGACGTGGATGATGTCTGGAAAGTTGGCCAAATGGCCCTGATACAGCGCTAACAAATCCATCACAGGATCTAGGTCCTGCCGGGGCTGATCTGCAAAGAGGTCCCCAATGGCGTCGTAGGCATCTGCAGTGAAGGCTATGGCTTGGTTGAGGCCAGCTGAAAAGGCCTGCTGGTCTAGCTCAAACGCCTGACTGAGGCACTTAAAGGAGTGCCCCACCTTCTGGTATTCTTTCTTGAAGCCAGTGACTTGTTTACGGGCAAACTCATTGGCCGTGTGATTAAGCTGCAGAGCGCTCTCGTCCATCTTCTTCGTGAAGGCTTTGAAGCCATCCACCTGGCTTTCCACCTCCTGCAAGTCCAGGCTGGCCCCGGGGCCCGTGGGGACACTGATGGTCAGGAAGAAGTTGGCACCCACCATCTCATCCTTCTCAGCCTTGCGCTTGCCTTGCTTCCAGGCCTTCTCATCCGTGCTGGGACAGGTGAGGAAGTGCTGGAAGGCATCGCACTGAGCCAGCACCGGGTGGCTGCACATGTGGTCCATCCACCAGGCGAGGCCTTTGCGGCGTTTGGAGATGAAGTCCTCCTCGAAGCGGCCAG